GTTGCCATGGCAACAGTCTCAGTAGGGGAGCCACTCAGCATTACCCAGTAATTCACATCTGTGCTTGTTTCTCTCCCTCTCTCCCCTCTCCCCTCTCTTTTTATCTGTAAATGGAAAGCAGCTCATGAGTGACGCCACCTTGAAGCTGGCAGTTCCAGGAAGAAGGAAAGAAGAAAATTTCTTTCTGGGGGATATCCCCCCCCCCGCCCCAGAGGTCTTTTTTTCCCTCTCCACAGGTCACACTCTCTCACCCAGGGGTGGACGGAGCTGCCTCAGAGAAGCCCACAACTGGGGGTGTGTGAGCCTCCAGAGAAGCCTGGGAACCAGCCATAGCACTTGACCTTTGCTGCTGCAGGAGAGGGTCTTCAAAGGTTAAGGAATGAGCCTGCAGGCTTTTACAAGCGCCCTTTGATTCCAGGTGGGTCAGGCAGGTGAATGGAGGCTAGACGAGGGGAGACCTAGCATTTCTGACCCCCACCGCTGAGCGTCCATCTTTCCTGTAGGCCCCTGACTTCTTCCTCTTCCCTCTCCTCTTGTTCTTTTTTCTTCCTTTCCTTGTTTTTAAATTCTCTCCCTGCCTTCCATTCCAAGGCCCAAAGCAATGGATGACTGAACAGGCCAGGTCAAGGATGGGGCCCGTTCAAAGTTGATTTGAGGAAAGCCAACTGGAGGAGCAATGGTTCTGTCCCTTTGCTCCCACCTCCTGCTCTGCTTTCGCTGAATTCTGTGAAGTCACAAACAACAGTTTGGGGTCAACTCTCTCACCTCTTCCTCACCACTCTTCCTTCCTCTAAGATTAACTATCCATTCATTCTCGTCTGTGCCTAATGGAGCACGATAAGAGAGCACAGCAACTCCGAAAGAGTGGATCCCTGTAGAAAAGTTATTTGTAAATGGCACCAAAATCTGAATAGGATGGGGTTATCATTGGGGTGGCATTTCTTTTAGGGGAATCGCTTGTTGGTATGGTCTAGAGCATGGATTATTTCACTGCTCTGTTTTTTTCTTTCTCTGTTTTTGCTTTTTAAAAAATGGTATTTCTTTATTTCTTAAATAAGCAATCTATTCATATTATCAGGATTTAAAATATTCCAAAGAATTTATTGTGAAATGTCTCCCTCCCACTCCTGTCCCCCGGATACCATTCCCCTTCCAAGAGCCAACCAATATTATCAGTTTGTAACAGAGATAGTTAATGTGTTCACGAGCAAATTCCTATTTTATTTTCTCTTCTCTTTTACTGTTGATTCCTAAAAAGTATGGTTGCAGGATTTAGAAGGTCTTACCCGGTGAACGTACCCTGACCTGTTTTGTATCCAACTTATTTTACTAATGAGGTCTGTACTTTGTTCAAGTATTTGTATATGGACTAAGTAAATAAATTCTTAGGTAATCACAGACCTCCTTTTTTTTTTAATTTTAAGAATCACCTTCCTCCCCCGTCACTTCCCAGAATGACAGAGAAGGGACACAGAGAGACAGGCTGTGTTTGTCCCTTTCTGCCTGGCAAGGAGCAGGTGTTCCAGAATATTTGTCAGATGAAGATGGCAGGAAGGTTGGAAAAACGACAATCAGAAGCCTAGAGCCCGCTCACGTTGGAGAATCAGGATCCGTCTGACAAATTCCACTGGAAAGAGCCCTGGCTGCCTTTCTGGGAGGAGCTGGGGTGCCTTGGGCCTCTCGTCCTCCTTCAGGAAGGAAAGGACGAGTAGGAGAGGAGGACCAGCCTTCTCCAGGCGGCATTTGAGATCAGGGGTGGGGAGGGAGAAGAGAGTCGATCAGACTGCTTATTTGGCTCTAAGTGACTCTGTCCGTATTTCAGTCAAAGCTGCTCAAAATGGCTCATGTGGGCAGACAGGGCCTGAGTCAGCCAGTCAATAACATTCATCGAATGTTCCCTGGGTACAGAGCTGGGAGCTGTGGAACCGGAAACGAGAACTACATGGTTCAGTCCTTCCACTGAGGAGCTGAAAATCTGGGGGAAACAGAAAAGACAGATATGCCTGAAAAAGACCCAAAAGCCTATTAACACACAAATACAGAAACCAGGACAAATGAACACACAGGGTTTGAGACTGACCATGGTCCAGGCCAGGCCTGAGACAAGCTTACTTTCCAGGTTCTCTTCTGGAAAGGGGTGCAAAGACTCTCTGACATATTCCCACCTGTCCATGCTACATGGGCAATCATTTGATGGAGGTGCTGTAAGGGAGATGATTCAGCCTGTGCGGAGATACCCCTGGGATGCAATCTTGCTCTGCACCGCTAGATGTGTTATCTGGACGTGTTTCTAAAGCTCTCTGAAGCTCAATTACTTCTCACCCCATGCTTACAATTGCTGTGAGATCAGAGGATACAAAATGCCTGCCCAGTGCTGGCATAGGGTGGAAACTCAGAGAGTGGCAATATTTATTATTGTCCTAGCAATCATTCTAGAGTCGCACCATCTTGAAATCCATAGGGACAAGCATCTCGCTCTTCTATTGCCTCTCTCTTTAGCGAGTGAGTCTCTTCCCTTCTTCCTAGTCTCACCTCTGAACCCAGTCTGTTGGTTTTTGGTCAGCAGGGCTGCCCACTTGTCAGGCCAGGCCAGATGAGATGTGCCCACGTGGATGGTGTCCAGTGGTGGTACCATCGGGCCAAGTCAAATAGGAAGGTCCTTACTGTACGTTCTGTGCCTGGAGCCACTGGGCTGAGAGACAGCACCAAGAGGAGAAGCCAGGAGACGGAGCCAAAGGTCAGAAGCCAGGAAGAAGCCAGGGTCTGAGTGTGGAGCTGGCCCGGCCAGTGGCGGGTAGGACAGGGGTAGTGGGGAGGACTGAGGACCAGAAAGTCAAGGGATGACTGTGTGGTGCATTCCGGGTTAAGGGAGGGAAGCTGTTGGCGAAGTGTTTCTTCCCTGTGAGATCATTTAAAGATAGAAATGACTAAGGGGTTCTCAATGACTGGGTCTATCTTTGAAGACAACGTTTGATAACTAGGATGAAGCTGTTGTGTCAGTTTTGCTACCATTGCCGTGACGGTCACCCTGTCTGGCCATCATCACCCCTCCCCTGAATTACCACCGCAGCCTCTTAACTTGCCTTTTGGCCTCGCCCCCACAGCCTCATCTCAACTCTGCAGCTCGAGGGGTCCATTTGAAACGTAAGTTGGATCTTATCCCTCTTTACAACCTTCCAATGGCCCCCATCTTCTCAGTGTGAAAGCCTCAGTCCTTACAATGACCTACAAGGCCCTTGGCAAGCTGGACCTGGTCACCACCCCCATATCATCTTCTACTTTCCACTCCCAACCCCTCCAGCCCCAGTGGCCTCCTTGCTGGTCCTCAGACACTCCGGGTGCTCTCCTGCTCAGGGCTGCGCGCTGGCTGCACCCTTGGTCCTCAATGCTTGTCCCCCAGAGATCCACACAGCTCACTCCTCGCCTCCTCGAAGTCTTTGCTCAATGTCGCCTTTACCAGGAAGCCCAGTCTGACCCCCCTGCTCCCCCTCCCTCCAGCCCAGCGCTCCACCCTCTTCACTCTGCTCCATTTTTTCCCCGTAGTAATTGTCATCTTTTAACAAACTACAGTCATGCGTTGCTTAACGATAGGGATATTTTTCTGAGAAATGTGTTGTTAGGTGATTTTGTTGTGTGGATATCACAGTGCACTTACACACACTTAGATGGTACAGGCTCCTACACACCTAGGCTGTATGGTACTAATCTTACGGGACTGCTGTCCTATATGTGTCCCACCGTTGACGGAAATGACATTATGCAGCATATAACTGTATTTACTTTTAAAAAAAAAAAAACTGGTTACACCTTTGTGTGTCTTCTTTTCTAGAACATCAGCTCCATAGGGCAGGGGCTTTGGTTTACTTTGTGCACTGATGTATCTCAGGCACCTAGAACAGTACTTGGCACATAAGAGGCACTTCATAAATATTTGTTCAATGAATGAGTATTATTTTATTGCTATGACTACCACACTGCCATGAAGACATTTTGATTGCCTACAACGTGCCAAGCTCTGTGCTGGGAGCTTAAACAAGTTAGTTCACACATAGCACTGTGGGGCAATTATTATCCTGATTTTACATATGAGGAAGCTGAGGCTCAGGGAAATTCAGCCACTTGACCTGGACCACTGAGTTAGAAGGTGGCTAAGATGGGGCCGAAACCCTGGTCATCCCAGCTTCAGGACCTGTGGTCTTTCCATTAGAACATCTCTGTGTTCCACTGGATTTAGTCAAGCTCTGTGGTAGAAGAGCTCGCAAGGATGGCATGAGGGGGAAGGCACTGCCTGCATCAATGATGGGGTTCCCTCGTGAACCACAAACAAAAAGCATGGGACATTCCCAAGTGTCATGTTGGAGCCCCTCGTGGCAGCAACGGTCCCCGTGGAGGACACTGTCAGCGCCCTTTCCCTCTCCTTTGATGGGATCCCAGAGTGCACTTCCTACCCAGTCGTCCTGCCCCGTGTCAGGCTTCTCTGTAGACATCTCCTCCACACAACAATCAAAATGGTATCTAACAATTATAAACCAGACCCATCCTGCCCTTCTTAAAGCCCCCTACTGGTTGGTTTCTCTTCCTGTTCAGAACATATATTGAAAGTCCTACAGGCTCCCCACCTGCTCCCCGCTCACTCTTGTTCTTTCGCACACACGCCAGGCTCTCTCCTGCCCGGAGGCCTTGAACCAGCTGTTCTCTCCTCCCGGAATGCTGACCCCTGCCCCAACCTTGCAGAGCTGCCTTCTTCTTCCGTCTAAGCTTAAGGTCACCTCTCCAGAGAGGCCTTCGCTGACTACCCAGGTGCCCTCTGATATCCTGTTCTGGTTTTCTGCAGAACAGTTACCACTGTGCGGTATTTCCTAGTTTCTGTGTGTGGTTATTTCTTGATTCTCGGTCCTGCCCACTACACTGGGGGCTCCGTGGGAACAGGCCCTTCATGTTCTCTGCTGTCTCTCCAAGGCAGGTGGAGGGCCCGGCAGGGGATGGGTGCTGGTTCATACCTGTTAAGTGAAGGATGCCTCCCTACTTGAGGAGCTGCTGCCCCAGGCCCTCTGGGCACAGGGGGAGAGTTGCGGTCCCAGGGAGGTTATCCTTGGTGGCCTGGAGCAGGACAGCATCACGTCCACCATGTCCCGTATCCCAGGGCACAGTCAAAGAAGACAGATTTCCACAAGGAAGCCTGGAAATGGGAGAAAAAGCCTGTGGGATCAGGAACAAGAAAGATGCAAGAACACAGTGGTAGGGACAAGCCAGGGTGAAGAGGAGAGCAAAGTGGGAGGGCCCAAGAGGGACATCCCCAACCAGGCCCTGGGCCTGTGCTGCCAGCCTCCTGCACATGGCTGGGTGGGCTGGTGGCTTAGAGTCCAGGTGAGGGTCCCTTCCTGTCCCAACACCTTCAACACACACATAGCCTCTGCCATCTTAAGAGGCAGAGAGGGAGTGTTTTTCCATTAGAAATTTGAAATTACCATCTACAGTGCTGTTCTTCTAACTTTGGGATTGTTGATTCTAATTCCCAACTGAGTAAATATTTTTGTGAGTTCTAATGAATCACGTAGATGTACATATATACAAATAGACCAGTTCTTGCGTTTATTCATCAATGAGAATGCTGGAAAGAGCGATGGTTAGATTTTCATTATTTGCCGCCAGCAAAGGCCTCAAACCTGGGTCCCTGTAAAAGCGTGACTCAGCACCGGTCTCCCTACTCGCTCTTGTTCTTTTCGTCTTTTTTCCGCTCCTGCTGGTTTTACCGCATTCCCCTTTGATGGTGAAAGAATCGGATCAATGAGGACGTCAGAGGACTGACCTGGCAGGGTCTTCTTGTCTTCCTCATTCCCAGTGTCAGAGCTGAGTCTGCTGTGAGAAGCTGGAGGATGCACGGATTTGTTTCTGTTGGTTCCTTTTGGGTTTTTTTTTCCAAGTTTTTATTTTATTTTAGGAAGATTAGCCCTGAGCTAACATCTGCCGCCAATCCTCCTCTTTTTGCTGAGGAAGCCTGGCCCTGGGCTAACATCTGTGCCCATCTTCCTCTACTTTATATGTGGGACGCCTGCCACAGCATGGCTTGACAAGTGGTGTGTAGGTCCACACTTGGGATCCGAGCTGGCGAACCCTCAGCTGCCGAACTGGAACGTGCAAACTTACACTCTGCGCCACCAGGCTGGCCTCTCCTTTTGTTTTATCTTCACGTTTCTGGCTGTTTGGTTTAGAACATCAGGAACGGTGTGCAGCGACAAGATGTCCTTCCCTCGATGGAGAACATAGCTTTGAGCGCATTTTGGAAATTGTAGAGCACTCGCATTGCAAGGGGTTTGGTTGGTGGTGGTTCCTTCCTCCAGGCAGCTGCCTGGGTCTGTGCTGTTCCGTTCTTGCTCTGCATTTACAGAGATCCCAGGCTCTCCTGAGCATCCGCTCCAGGAGAAGCACCTCTGGGGTTTCTTCTGCCCTTGCTGGGAAGGAAGCCTCTGTGCTCCCTGAGGCTATGCACAGCCCTCTCTGGGACCTGCGGTTTGGTGAGCCTACACCATCAGGAAGGCTGCCCTGGAGGGAGAAGACATGCCCAAGTTTGTCTCTGAGTGACAAACCCTCGGCTGGGAAGCCCACTCTCTCTGGTCTGCAGAAGGCCACGGCACAGGATGGGCTTTCCTATCTCTAAGTTGGATCCAGTTCCCAGACCTCACTTAGCTAATCCACAAATTTCCATAAATGGCCCCCAGTGGGACCTAAAATGCAGCTGTAGCTTGCTCTGGGAGTTGGCGTGGACTACCTCTGGGTTTGGGTGAGCCGAGGAGACCCCCTCCTGCCCACCAACTGCTGCCTCAGGAGGGCTGAGTCCGCCCTGGAGCCAGGCAGAGCAAGGTTGCCATGGACTGCTGTGCAGGGCGGGAGTGCAATAAATGTCTCTGGGGGCACCGTTGACAAGGACACAGCCCTGCCCAACCATACTTGGTGGGTCTGGGCAGGAATACCCACCTGGAGACTAGGCACCATTCTCCTTAATCACAGGCCATTCTTACTAATCAGAATTCTCCCAAAGAATCAAGGCAGGCTGTCTCCATCACTTTTCTTTCTTTCTTCCTTTTTTGGTGAGGAAGATTGGCTCTGAGCTAACATCTATTGCTAGTCTTCCTCTTTTTTGCTTGAGGAAGATTGTCGCAGAGCTAATATCTGTGCCAATCTTCCTATATTTTGTATGTGGGACACTGCCACAGCGTGGCTTAATGAGCAGTATGTGGGTCTGTGCCCGGGATCCAAACCTGCAAATCCTGGGCCGCCGAAGCAGAGGGCATGAACTTTAACCACTATGCCACTGGGCTGGCCCAGCTGTCACTTTTCTTGACCTCCCTAAGATCACATTCCTCTGCAGGTGGACTTGCACATAAGTAATGTACAATAAGAGTGCATGAGTTGGACAAAATCCAGACGGCCAAAGCCAGCCTGTGACTTTCGCCGGAGCCGCTTCACCTGCCTGACATAAACTCCAGCAGATACAACACAGACGCTGAGGAAATAGGAGCCCAGCCCAGCAGGGACAAGGCACGGGGGCAGGGTGTGTGTTTCTCAGCTTGCCCATCCTAATCTGCGGAAGGGAGTTCCTGGGGCAGGCAGGGGAGGAGCCGGGGGCTGAATAGACTGCTTGTATTCCTTTCGCTGGGTACTTCCTGCAGTTTTATGTTATCTCCTGCAGTTAAGGGGAGATGTAGATAATCCACATGTTTGCCTTTTCCTGATTTTATACAGTATCACTTGGCTAAAAATCTACACCAGCCACAAGGATACGTTCTGGCTGAATGTTAGAGACTTTTCTCATTATCTTTAAAAACAAAAAACCAAAAACCAGCCTCTCCACTGTTATGGCACATAAAGTGATGCAAATGCGCATGCCACTGCAATAAAAGCCACAGTTAGAGAATTAAATGCTCCGGTTTGGGGCCATAAGTAAGCAGCATGACTGAGTGGGTCATTTTCTGGTCTGTTGCAGGCCTCTTCCTCTCTGGGGTGGAAGATGGCCGGGTGAGCTGTTCCATCACAGCTGCTCCGGTGGGGCCACGTGGCCCTGAGACCACCTGCGTTTTCAGCCATCTTTAAAGCTAAGCTCGATTTGTCTGAGGAGCTGGAATTTGGTGCCCACTGCAGGGACTTCCCTGAGTCCAGACTGTGCAGCTAAGGTCACAAGGTCGCATTCCTTCTCGCAATGTTCAGCCCAGCAAGAAGATATTTTTGGTACTTCCAACAAGGACTTGCGTCCTGCCAGGTTCTACAGAGGACGCAGGGGAACCCTGCAATGCAGCCTCGGCCCTCAAAGAGCTCACACTGGGTGGAAAGCAAGACACACAGAGGCCACACATTTGCGAACCGGCACTTATGGAGCTGCTCATTTGTCCTTACGTAGCTTGATTATAACTCTGCACATGTGTGGAACACATGGAAACTGAGCCCTCGGTGCCTGGCCTCGAGAGACCAGCCCACTCACTGGCAGAGCTAATAAGCGCTTTCCATCCTTCAAATGCTGATGGCATCTGCCATCTTCACTATCCATTCAGCACTGCCATACAACGCCATGGGCGAGTAGTTGTTTTTTAAGTTTGTCTCCCATAGCTCTCACTTGATTGTGGAATCGTCAAATGCTTTAGAGATGTCATCTACCAAAACGGGGAAATTGAGATAATCAGAGAAGTATGTGACTTGCCCAAGGTCACCAGGTTCCCTCTTCATCCAGGGGCTGGAGAGGCCAGCCCTCAGCTGGAGGGAAGAGCCTCCAGGCCCTGGTACCTTAGTGACCCCTTCAACTGGGCCTCTCCAGCCTCGTGGCCCTTCCCTGCAGACAAGTGAGGGAAACATCCCTTTGTCCTTCAGGTCCTGTCTCAGGTTGATCACAAACAGGCAGATGGAAGTGCTGTGTGTGACATCAGCACGGATTTATGCACCAGGACTCTCTGTGGCAGGAAAGAACATTCCTGGTTTTAATAGATGCCTTCTTGTGTAAATATAAAAGGACCAGGAAGCAATCTGAGAGTCAGTGCCCGGCTTACGGTCACATAAGGTATTTCTGCTGGCAGTCTGGGTTGGGCTTCTTCAGGGAAGCAGCTGGGGCCTGGTCCCCTGTTGGTCTTCACTTGGGCCCACCTCAGAGGTGGCCCCAGTCAGGGCCTGTAGGAGGACTCGAGACCCACCCCTGCCACCCACCTCTGTGGCCCTGGCCCTGTCAACCTGAATGGCTAGTCTTCATCTCGAGGTGGCACTGACAGCAGCTGCCCCCGCAGCCTTCTGGGATGTTGCAAGGGTCACATACCAGGACAGAGGTGCGTATGGCCTGACCCACAAACGTGATGGAGCTCTTCCCCTCTCTGTCTTGCAGTGAAGGCCTTGTTGCACCAGTAGAACAAGCTAGAGAGATAAATCAATGAACCTGTTGACTAATCCCAGAGGTGTCTAGGTGGCATAGTTTTAAATACCCAAAGATCCATTTATGTGTGCGTCAGCTGGTCCACCTCGGGACCACCCGTACCAGGGCGATGCAGGAAGATGCAAGATGCAGTATGTCATATCATGAACGTTCAAACGTTAGTGAAAACCCAAGTCTCTTAAAAATCATTGAAACCAGTTTCCTAAGTGGCAGTTTTTCTGCTCATCTCTGTTAGAAGTAGTCCGAGCATGCTTCTCAGGGCCCAGCTGATTTTGCAAACTTCCCAACACGGATCTGGGGACCGATGGCGCAACTACCTCTCACCACCTGGATCAGTCTTCAAACTCTCCAAACCCAGGGAGGTGGAGCTGTAAAAGCCATTTAAGCAAATGGCCACTGGCTTTCCCTCCCTGTGCGGATGGCCCATGCTAAACGCCCAGGGTCCTCGGACTTCAGGGAGAGCTGTCTGCGGGGGAAGGCAGCGTGCGGACGGGGGTTCTGGGTGCTGGGGCTGTTGGCGCCTCCCCAGGGTCCTCTTTGTGCCCTCTCTGGTTTAGGCTTGAGCTCCGGGTAAAGGAGAAGGATCCTGCGTCTGCTAAAGCAGCAGCAACACCGTGGAGCCCGCGTCTGAAGTTAGAGCATTCGATTAAGGTGAGCATCCTAGCATCTTTCACTTAGGCCCTTGACTCCCTGAAATCCGGGGCAGAGCCTTATCTGAAGTTCCAACACTTGACTTTCACTAACATACAAAGGCTTCTCTCCAGCTACAAGGCTGGTGAGGAGTTTCGTTTGTCTGTCTACAAAGAGATGTATTTTAAATGCTTTCTCTTTATGGCTGCAAAGTCTTGTGATGACTGAAGGCAAAGACGGAATCTCTCTGTATATTGATTCCTAGTGCCGGCTTAATGTCTGTGTGTAATTATTTTTACCATGCAGGTGAAGCAAGAAATTAAACTGGGCTTCTCAAGGAGGGTGAAAAACCAGCACCAGAAATGGGAGATCACAGGAGAACACGAGCAGGTAAGCTGTTTGCAAATACTGTGGCTGCTTTCAGTCTCTGTTGCTGCTGCAAGTGCATCGACCACCCCACGCCCAGGCACACCCCCGCACAGATCTGCTTTTGCTTTCTCTTGGTTTCTCAGGAAAGAAAAATCCCCCAGGATCCTCCTTTTCTGTCTGCCTGACAAACCTAATAGGAAACCTACATTAATCTGTAAGTGAGGGTAATGGTTTTTCTGCTGTTTCATACGTGCAACGTCAAATTCAGGGGTCCTGAGGAAAGAGGAGCCCTGGAAGAACAAGATTCCCCTCTGCGGGGCCAGGTGACCTGCGTGCTCCAGGCTGGAGGAGGCGCACAGGAGCTGTCCCTTCCCCAAGGAAACAGCCTGTTCCTCTGCCTCGCCCTTCTCTACTTACAGACTCTAGGAGAGGAGGCAGGACCTCTGGAAACAAGACCCAGGACTCAGATTTCCACCCTTGTCTGAGGTGGGAAGGGCAGGTTCAGACATTCCGGCCAGAGGTTGGTTTTCCACGCAGAATCTGGGGACACATGCTGAGCACATAAGCGGAGGCCGTGGGGTTTCATAGGCTCAGATATACTGTGACGCCAGGTCTCTGATGCGCCAAAAAGGACACAAAGCCGTCTGACTCAGTGTTGCTTCTAGAAAGTCACCAGTGAGCATTTCCCTCCCTTGAGTCAGCTCAGGAGCCAGGGATGTGGCTCTGCCAGGCCCCGGGTGGAGCGGTGTCAGCTCCCTGCGGAGCCTTCCTCACTCAGGGTGGCTGCTCTGGCGACGCCGGAGCTCCCGGCTCTGAGGTGAGAGACCTGCTTGCCCCTGGTTTTGAGTCACCACTTAGGGAGAGGGGACAACAATGTGAAGTTTCATCCCAAACCCCAAACGCCCATTCTGTACCTAATTTTTCAGAAACCGGGGTTTCCATGGCCATGTCCTCAGTACCAGTAACAGCCGGGACACGTGGGGGCAGGGGGGCCATGGGGTTCGGGGGGCAGTGAAGTGTGGGGCTTCTGCCCAGCCGGGATGGGCAAGGAGACTGGCAGTGCTCTGCCTGGGGAACCTCCCCAAAGAGGTCAATGACTTCCTGCCAGTGGAGCCTCAGGCCTCCTGGGAAAGGCAGCGAGCCTGGGACGAAGGCAGCAGGCGCAGGAACCGAGGCTGCTGGGACCCATGTCCTGCTTGCCAACTTTTCCCTCCACGACCTGGAGCTGTTTCCTTCCTGGCACCTCCGCTTCTATCCCTGGACATGAGAGGCGATCACACAGGCTCTTGAAAGGCAGAGGAGGCCCCTTTCCGCGGGCCGGTTGTGGTCCGCGTGAAGCTAACAATCGGCTGGTTTGTTCTACGCAGGCCTTGTTAGAACAGCCTCTGCTTTGGCCTTTCCGTCTTCCAACGGAATGGGCCAGGAAACAGCCAAGTCAGCCCCTGCCGTGGCAGCTTCTAGAACCAGAAGAGGCCTTTCTGAGAATCTTGCTGAACCCTAAGGATGAGGAGTGTCAGATTCTGCAGTGGGGGAAGCTGGCAACCCAGCCTCCACTTCTAAGTAAGCTTTGCCTCGGACACCCGCCAGCTATCTGCCTGGAGACTTGCCTTTGATCACGACTTGTCACCTCCCAGGAGGTGTTCCACTTTCCAAGCAGGTGAAAAACGAACCCGATTAAAAATAGTAGACTGAACTCTTCACAGAGTCCTCTTATAAAGCGAAACTACCGGTGCTTCTCCAAGTGGCAAAAAGGACGGCCTAGTCCCTCGGGTTCCAGGACTCCGTGAGCCAGTCAGGCTCCCGCTGTGCCGAAAACCCCAGAGTGCTCCTCTGCTGCACCCCAGAACCCCAGCACAGCCTGGAACCCCGGGACCATCACTTGGCTGTGCTCCAGCAGCCAGCAGAGCCCTTTGGCCATGGCCACGGGCCAGCCCTTGCTCACTGGTTCACCTTGGTGACCAGGGGCTGATGTGACCGTCCACGCCCTCTCCCCTCCTTCCTGCTCCCTTTAGGGCTTTATGGACTGGGAGTTTCTGGAGCTTTCTCAAAACCGTGGACTCATTCCCAGTGGAAATCATGACATTTTCCGTTTCACATTACGCACTCCACAATGCCTCAGGAAAACAGAGAGAGAGGGAGAGAGAAGGAAAACAAGGCCTGGGAGCCAGCCCCCTCTCTCCGTAAACAGCTCGGGCCAGGCCATGTCTCTGCCACGGTCCTCTCTGTTTATCCTGGAGTCACCTCCCCGAGCTTGACAGCTAGAGCTCCAGCGTTTTCTTCTTTAGTCAACGGCCTGATGAATAGGTTAACTGCCTTTTCTCTCTGCTCATGTGGCACATCTGGATAAAGGCGTGCCTCTCTGCTTGGTCGTGTTTTTTTTAAACTTTACTTTCGACTGCCATGGTAACTGCTGCATGTTTGGCAAAGGGAAAGAGGAAAAAAAAAAGGCTCGGAGAGAAGAAAAGGAGCTCTCAGCGCGGGGCTGGCGGCCGGCCAGGGTAATCATGCCGCAGAGCTGAAATGAGGCCTCTGGCGGGCAGCCAAGTTACAAAGAACAAAGCTGTCAGTTCCTAATGTTGGCGGCAAAGCTTGTTTGGCACCCTTATATGGTTTCCCAGAACTCCCTGCCTTGGCCGCCTTCCATTCCCTTCAGGGCAGCAAACAGGATTAGCACAGCCCGAGTTGTTTTTCTCTTCTCTCCTCCAACTGTTCCAATGACATCATCCCTGCCGCATTCATTTGCCAGCAGGGTGGTTTTTTCTCTCTCTCCACCTCCCTCCCTCCCGCTCTCCCTCCCGCTCTCCCTCCATCTCTCTCTCTCTGTCTCTCAAAACACACACACACACACACACACACACACACCCCTCCACTCCTACTTCCTTCCTGTAGCCGCCCCCTCTCCTCTGACTTTCCTTAAACGCAACGTTTTAGGTCATTCTTCTTGTCCAGCATCTCTTGTTAAATTAAAAACGCCCTGGTGCTTGTACATTTAGCTGAATCAAGCCAGACGTTGTATTTTATTTTTATAACTGAATTCCTGTGAGATAAAAATCTCATTTTCCTTAGCAGGCTGTAATCAGCGCTCACAGGGCTGTGGTTTCCAACTGCCGCATCTCGAGCTTCCTTACGAAGCTCCGCTGAGAAATGGACTTGGCTCCTGTTCAGGTTTAAAGGGCCCGAAGCTGGCCACACGTTGCTTGTTCTCACACACACACGCGCGCACATACACATAGACGAGGCGCACACAGAGACCATCATGCACGCACACACACATCCACACGCACCCACAGCTACACAAAAGGCATGAATATAACCACCAAGACAGACGGACGCACAATCAGTACACACTGTCATTCTTTCCCTTTCAAGAAGAAAAATAGGTGAATCAGTAGAAGCCAAAAGCTGCTTCCGAAAAGACTGGTTTAAACCAGCAGGCAGGGGAGCGTTATGCAACTAATGGCTGGGTTCATGAAAGGAATGGAGGTTCGCTGACTGCACAAATGTGCCCCCGCCCTGCCCCCACCCCCACCCCATCTCACTCTGATTCATGAACTAGTTTTCAGATTCATGAATCACTCGGGAGCCAGCAAGAGAAAAATGAGTAGTATTGATCTCATTTCAATTGAAAGTGGCTCATTATGGCCATGCTGGCTGCGGACAGCTTTCCACCACCAGGCACTCACCAGCATCGGAGGTCTGTAGGCAGGCGCCCCCACCTGCGGGCGGGGCAGGAATCCTTGGGTGAAGGCTTCTGCAGAGGGTTTCCCTTCTTACTATTAAGTGAGCATAATAAGATCTACTGGTACCAGGGTCTGTGGCTGGACTCCACTGTCCTTGGGCTGGTCTGCTGCCTTCTTTTAGTGTTCTCCATCTATTTTTTTCTTTTCATTTTCAATACAATCTTTTAAGAAGTGTCTCTGTGCAAATTCTTTTCTGGATTTCTGGTGACTTTTCAAGGACTTCCTAAAATAGAAATTCACCTTCTACTAGGTAAATTCAACTGAAAATCCAACCAGGATGTCTTGGGTTTGTTTCTTCGTTTTAAGGCAAACCAGTAGCTTTTACCCTTTTCACCCCCTTCACTGTCTTCAGCAAACGAGTGGAGGATATGGACCCTCTAGATTTGGGCCAATCTGATTTATGTACCGGAAGATTATCCACCCACTGGATGACTGCCATCGCATGGATAGGGGACTCTAGGATTCTATAAAACCCTTCTTTTCCTTCCCAAATGAAGTGGTGCTCCTCTCACTGAACATCCAGCAAGTGGACACTGAGCCCTGGTCCAGTGGCACCACACAGACAGACGCCTTAGGTCAGGGGCTGCCCACCAAGGCCACACTTCTCTCCAACTGCCTTTCCCCTCTCCTCTTGAGTTTCGACTCAACCATCTTCCCTCTTGACATGGGCCCCCCAACCCCAACCCAGTCCAACATGTTAGATTGGTCCTCAGGGCTAGGCAAGCTTTCTCTCTTCTTTACACCATTGCGGTCTGGGTTATTGTGTGTAAGTAGATCACGACAGGCCATTGGCCTTGATTTGCCCCTTGGAAATGGTACTTTGTGTGGTTTCTGCTCCCAGGTCTCCTCACCCACCCCCACCTTCCTGGCCTTGGGAGAGTTAAAACAATTAACTGGATATATGCTTTTCAGAAACCCCACGAAAGTTGGCAGCTATCACTGGAAAAGGATTCGATCCTAATCTGCATAATTTGGGATCCAAGAGTTTAGAAACGAGATTCTCATCCGTTGACTTCAGACACACAGTCGCGCCATCAGATGCATTTCACTTGGCTGGGCTTCGACGACATGACCTTCCTCCCTTCCACTCCTGCAGTGCCCAGAGAAATTGGGAGCGGCCCAAAGAAGGGGGAAAGATGTGTCTGTGTGAATTTCAATGAGAAACTGGTTCAGAGGCAAAAAGAGCTGCTTCGCGTTCTGTGAGGTCTGTGCGAAGGTGCCTTTCAGCTCTGAGCTGCCCAGGCATTCTTGGGCTGAACCTGCAGCCCACGGGAGTCCCGGGCATGCCGGGGCACCATGGGTTAAAATCACTCCCACGAATTTGCTGGCTGGCCTTGGAGCAAATGGGGATAGTGGGTTGGCTCATGTTTTGCATTAACTCGTTTGCTTTTTTTCCACTGCAGCCTCACATTCTGTGATAAACCTGAGTTGCTAGGAAAGCTTTATGTAACACCCACCGGCCCCAGCTTCTCAGAGCAGCAAGTGTTCTGTTTCCAGAGTTCCCCATAAACCTGGCAGCACATCAAAACCTCTGTTTCATAACAGACCAGAAATAGGATTTTCTAATAACATTCCGAGGACTGGACTTACCGTGCGGGGGTCTGGACTTTTATGAATTGTTAATGGTTAACTAAACAGAGACCCCCACGACACCCAACCTGCTATCTCTGGGGTCCAGGAGGGAAGGGAAGTTGGAAGAATGTGGTTTCTACATCCATGATCTGTTGGGTAGTGACCCAGGGCTCCTTTTAGAGAATTTGCTAAATAATCTCAAACATATTGAGGATCTTACTCATGTTTTAAAAAAAGAAAAAGAAAAAACTACCTTCCTCCTGCTTCTTCCTTCATTCATGGAGAATGTGGTTTCCTTTTATTTTGTTGCCAAACACGCTGACAGTTACGGATTTAACCCCTACCTTTCCTCTGGGAAAGAATGGCTGTCTTCAACAGACACACCTAGTTTAGGGGATCCAAGCATCCTCATGCAATAGACAAACCCCACATTTAAAATGCAGCTCCATGAATCATGGGCTGAGAGAATGATTATAGAGAGGAAGAAAGGAGCATGTCGGCCTCGCCCTCCTCCCTCACTCCTGTGTGTTACCTCCCCAGGAGGCCACCCCGCCTAGATGGGTCCTGGATTAGGTTATGACAGGCAAGGGAGTTCTCCAAAAGGCCATTTGCAGCCTATTTAGACACCACTCAGGAAACTTCTCCCTGTGTTCCATTTCATCAGCTGTGCCTTCTTTCCTTCCGGTTCTGCCTGCCCTCCTTATGCAGTTAGCACATGGGCAACACTTGAAAACAAAAGAAGCCCTAGGTGGAGTGTGACTGTTGAGGGCAGGGCTCAGAGTTGGCCAGGCTCACCTTTGGGGAGAACCTGATGTCACTCGTGCCATTGCTGCATCCAGCCATAAGGAGCCGCCATAAGAAGATGCTGCTCCACGCGCTCCCCGTCATCCCTTCCTGCATCCCTGCCATTTCCCTGCTCTTCTTCCCCGGATGATCTCTCAGGGCTCACCTGAACCCCCCAGGGGGGAGCATATCTCAATGACTGGACCTAAGCTTTGGCTCAGCCGGAACTGTGCTGCCGATTGCCCTCAGCGCCCTTCGCTCTGTGCTCCTGTGTGGTTTTGCTGTTTTAAACTTAATTGTTGTCTTTCTCTCCCTGATCTTCTCAAATAATTCCTGCATTGTAAATCTCTTCTACCCTCTCATGTTGGAATATTGGCCCCTAAATCTACCAACCTGGGGCTTTCCAGAACCATTCACATTTGGTTATTTCTTCTACCGCCACTGACATGATTTTTCCGCTAATGTTTGTAACACCTTCCTGTTTAGGTTCACGTGAGTTTAATTACCTGCTATTTACCCTTCCTTCTGGATCGTTAGTAAAAATGATAACAAAAAGTCTCGTCTCCCATCATGGCTGTCCCTCTGCAGAGCTGGCCTTAGGGGAGCCGCACCAGGTCTCCTGAGCCTGCCCATCAGCTCTCAATAGGAAACGGCTCCAAGGAAACTGCCGTCACAGTGGGCTTCCCTCACCAGGCTGAGATTTAATATCCTTGAGATCCATTTAGTGTCTGGACACCTGGTTGCTATGGAAATGGTTGTCATAAAAACACACCGATCTGCAGAGAGATATAAAACCGATCCCGTGGTACACAAGTGGACACATTAGCTCAGAGAAACGGTGTGCTGCTTATCGCTTCCCTTTGTTGACACAGCGCCTCTGCCTTTCAAATTCAACCTGGGCGACCTTCTCAGAAGCAGGCCAACGCACATCCATTTTCAGTTAATATTTCGTAGGAGACAATCAGGGCTTCACCAAATGCCAGATGCCCCCTGTCTTCCTGTTCCAAGCTGAGTCAGCCTAGAAGAAGAGGACATCTTCTTTGGCACAGTTTGTTCTTTGCTCACTGTCATTGATCCATCAGCACAACAGAGCAGGCAGAATAAAAACACTGACCCTGACAACGCTTCAGATCAGGTGGCTGGGAATGAGTAACAGGTGTGAGCAGGGAGGCCTCAGAGGCACTGCAAGGTTTGGAGGGGCCAAAGCTGGAGGGGCCCCCAGAGACCAATCTGGGATGTAGTGTAGGCCTGTATCTGTTGTCCGCCAGCTCAGGACTGGGTGATTCGGCCAGAGATGCTCATAAGGCGTGTAGGGGCTTTGACTAACCACCTTGACTTCCTTGTCATCTAAATTCTCAAAACCTGCATTCAGTTATCGCCTTCTGCAGGTTAATTTCTCCCTTGGTCTGGTCTATGTGCAGAAACCAGTAAAACAGTTCACTCCTCTCTCTTGACTGAAGCTCTAGTGGGGTAAAGGGGCAGGCACAGAATTATTTTGCAATACACAAAGGATAGTGGGAGTCCTGAAATTTGTTTTGGGGTAGGGGGTGAAAGAATGATTTTGTGGTCATATTTTTAGCTCTGCCATTGGCTGAGTGTATCTCAGAGCAGGAAGACAGCTGGAAAAACCAGGCAACAGCAGTGGTGACGTTATGAATGCAGACAAGGTCCACTTCCAAAATGGCTCCCAGTGCTAGTGGCTGCAGCTAAAACGTGAGACAACTCCCCTCTTCTGCACTGGCACGCCTGCATCAACACCTGAGACCCAGGTCACCTTCTGTGCTCGCTCTTATTTTGGAAGATGTCTGAATTCTAGAAAATGGGTCATAACTTAGCCATTGACTTGGTATTTGATCTTCAACAATTCCTTTGATTACTCAATGCCTATGTTTCCGTCTTTTTTATTGGGAAATGTGTTTCTGTTTTTATTTAGTGCCCCCAAACATTTTAACATCTTTTGCTTTAGTCAATCCTATCACATTGCTACTGAGAGAGGAGGCCAGACTAATGCGTACGACCCTGAGAACTATTAATGCATTCATCATGAAAGATATTAATATGAGACGTGATATAATAAGACACCTGCTCTTAGTACCTCCTATATGCTACTGGGTGATATTAAGAAAAAAAGCCACTGTGGTGTTGCAAATTCTTTAGCTAGTTCCACCGCATACCGTGGCGTGGGTATTATTTCAGCCTCTCGTTTGCATGTCTTCTGTTTCTCTAAATACTCCCTTAATCCCTCTTATCAATAGTTTATTGACAACATCTTCATTATTTCCCAATTGTCTTTCCCCTTTATCTTTATTTTTCTCTTTTAAGATAAATTTTCTTTCAAAGCAGTTGAAAAGCTCAGCTAATATGGAATCAGTTAGGTTTCAGCTCCCTCCTCATTCATTAAATGGGCCTGCTTTTTCTTTTTCCACACTCCTCCCCCTGAACAAAAAAAAAAAAAAAGCAAACATGTTTATAAAAACACACCCTATTCCCTTAGTTCCTTTGGCTGGCATTAAATCATTCTGCCTTTTTTTTTTCTCCCACCCTCATGTTTTTCCTGAAAACTTTAACTTTGTTCTGGTGTGTTCTTTCTCATTTTCCTCCCCCTGTGTCTCCATTTCTTGAACAAGTTCAAGAGAGAGCTGCTCTTTTGAGTTTTTTTCCCCCCTCGCCTGACTGAAAGCACATGGAACGCTTCTTTCTTGCTATTTTTTCGTCCTGTTTGCATGGGCCCCGTAGTCTTGGCCCTGCAATTATGGCGTCTTTCATGTTATCTTTCTCCCAAGGCAGCGGCTCACATCCTGGCAAACCAGACAATGGCAGTGTGTGTCTTTACTTAGTTTTTATACCTTTTGTTTCAGAATGCAGGATTTCCTTATGGTTTGTTTGGGCTTTTCAAAAACCTTATTTACTGATCCAGAGTGGTGCCAGACCGAAGAATACAGGCCAAGTTTATATGTGCCTGAAAATATACCATCATGTCCAGGCCCACTTGATGTTTTGGGCCAACTTAGAGGCTGATTTGATTGCTCTGTATTCTCTCCTGCAGCGTGCCAGAAAAGTGGCTGCTAAAGCAGGCCAAAACCTCAGCTCACTGAGCCTCTTGTATAGAGAGAACAGGGCTAGAAATTCAGACCAGGATAACATCTGAAATAGGAAGGACGACGATTACATTTTTAAATTATGGTCTTGTCTGTACGTTGTGAGTCAACTCTAACATTTATTTGTTTAAATTAAGCTCCCTTACCTTAATTAGAAGTTGGGATATGAGGTTTTAAAATTTATCCAATTATGTCTAAACCTCGCATTCCTATATTTTGTACCAAGGCTCTATCTTTATACAATATTTTCAATACAATCCAATGTTTTCAAAAACGAACACTTAAATCAAGCCATGAGGTCTTTTTAAGAGAAAGAATATGTGATCTTCATGATAGAACCAGAAACAGGGCCCTAAAGCATGAGTTCATTGCAGATTTTACTTAGTTATCTCTGACCAATGTAGGCCAACATGATCATTTTATTTTCCTTGATGCCAATGTGATGTCATTGCCAAGGAACACTGTCCCAAGCATAAGACAGATTCATCAAGAATGTGCACACGAATGTGCACACACAGAAACAAAGGGTAGGCTTGTTCCAGTGCCCTAATCACAGAGCTACAGGGATATGCCCTAGGGAAGATGAAGTGTGTTGATGCTTTCTTCATGGTGTGGAGCCAGCCCTCCGTCCAAGAGCAATTAGGAAGCTTCGATCTGGAAGATTCGAGAGGACATTAAAAGCCTGGATCCAAGTAACTTTTCCAATAAGTCTGACTCTGTGCTCTAGATTCAAACTTGATGCTTACTCCTTTGTTTTAAGACAGTGTCTCTAGAGGTTTCTCCTTAAAACTTCCTCTCCTTGAAATATTACATCCTCTGCCTGAAATGACCATCTCCGCCATCCCATTAGCCTTTATAGCCCATTGTTCAAGGTTTGAATCAAATGCCACCTTCTCCTGGAGACCTTCCTCAATTCTCACTTAAAACTTACTTTATTTTTTTCTAGGTGCCCAGAGTACAACATTTCTCTATTAAAGCTTTATCCCTTCTGCTACTTCATAACTGTCTGGGGGCAAAGTAAATGGTAAGCTCCTTGAGAGCAAGGATGATGTCTTTTTTTCTCCAGATCATGGCTTGTGCTAAATACGCCTCCGTCCAGCATTTACTGTTTGGATTTTGGTGTCTCTGTCCAGGTGTCTCTCTGGAACCACAGATGGAAAGCCCTTCGGGCGCATGGACTTCGTCTTGTTTATCTTTAGCTCTCCACTGCTGAGAAGATTGTCTGTCCCATTGAAGATGTGCTCATGCCTGTTCCGTGCTTGAAGCTGCACAACCTGTAGACAGAAGAGCTAAGCATCCATACGCTTTTGATTATATGTATCTTTCTTGCTGTATCTACTTTTTTCCCTTATTCATTTTTTTTTTTTTTTTTTTTTTTTTTTAAGATTTTATTTTTTCCTTTTTCTCCAATCCCTTATTCATTTTTGATGCAATGAAAGCTGGCTTCTTCCCTTACCTATAAGTGTTCCATTGGAATTTTTCTTGCTCTGATTACCACAGACCTCCTAAATGCCTGTACTCCAAAGGGCGTTTTTCAGGATATAGCTTATTCAGTCCTTCTGAAATATTTGACACTGGGAATGGCTCCCTCATGTTGAAACTTTCTCCTCCCCTTGGTGTCCATGGGGCGACCCTCTTCTGCTTTTCTTCCTTTCACAAAACCTTGTGTGTCCAGTTGACGACGGTGCCCCGAGCCTCCTGGGTCCATCCTCTTCTTCAGCTGCGTGTGCTCCCTCAGCAACCTTAACCCAACCTTTGTTCCCACCACCATCTCTATTTGAATGATCTCTAATTTTCTTCTCTAGCAAAGACCTCTTCACAGTGCCTTGGGTTCTTATTCCCCAAAACATACCAGATGTCTCTACATTGAAAACCCATATCACGCTTAAACTCAGTATATCTTCATCTTCCCACCAAAATTTGTACACACCCTCAACTCCTTGTCATCCTTCTTATATCCTGAGAGTGTCTGTAACTATTTTGCTCACCACTTTGCCTCCCATTCACCTCCACACTGCCACTGAGCATATCTTTCTAAAATACACGATCTAAGAAACGTGATCATGGCACTCCCAAGTCTCCATGTGCACACAGACTGAGCCTGGCACCAACACATAAGACCATCTGAACTCGGGCTCTGAGCTCCAGCCTCAACGAACTGCTCACAGTTCCCACAGGCCTCCAGCCTTCACACATGCCCGCCCCTCCTGGTCTACCTGGTAATTTCTACTGATTCTGCAAGACTCATCTCAGCAGCCTGTCTGCCCATAAAGCCTTTCTTGACTCTCTCCCCCAGACCTGTTAACTCCTTCCTTTCTGCTTCCCATCCCCCTTGGACATTGCTCCCCTACAGTGCTTCCTACATTGTTTTGTAGCCCTCTGATTTCCTGTCTTTCTTCTCAAGTAGGTTATGAACCACTCAAAGGCACAGTCACCTGCAGTTCCCATTTTAGATGCCACCTTCTGTCATTCATCTCTCCTTAACAATCAGGACCATTTTGAGGCATGGCCAAAGGAAAGAGGAGAGTCTTGAGGCCTGGAAGCCTTGCTATTATCTTGTCCATTGGAGTAAGAAACGTAATTCGGCTGAATTCATCATTGAGTTCCTTGGTGTTGGCTTTGAAGTTGCTCGAAAAGAAAAATGTAATCTTCTATGTTAATGTACTTTTTAAAGTCCTTCCAATTATTAGACTGGAAGCTCCTTCATCTTTCCTTCATGCTTGATTGGAGGCAAGAGATGAGGAACCCAGAGAATAAAGTTCCCCTAATGCCTTCATTATATTTATACACACTACAGAGCCCTAAGTCCAAATCTTTAAAGGCCCACGCATAAGCTCACCCAAATGCACCACTTATCCCCCGTGTTCTTGCTGTGTTGCTCAGCCACTCTGGCGGCCAACACTGTGACTCTGCCCATGTTCCTGGTCTGAGGATTTCCAACACTCCATTCAGGTTTCCCTTTTTGTTCTCATCACCATGTAGGAGCAAGTGTGACTGCCTCCATTTTACACATGTAGAATCGGGAAATGGCCAGCCTAAAGCAGGCCAAAGACCACGCTCCAGGAGAACAAAGGCAATGGGAATCTAACAGGTCACCTACAAACCCTAACTCTCATGCCACATAATAGGGCTGTCCCAGTCGCTAATGCTGAGTATTGACGCGATATAACGAAGTGGTTTGTAGCATGTGCTGGGGCATTTCCCATACCTTAGCCGTGGCCCCCCATGGCTCGACTTTCCAAGACTGCTGCTCCTGAGCCAGTGACTGATGAGCGCCGAGGCTGCACAGAGGATCAAATAGAGGCCTGAGAACTGTGGCTGCACAGACACTCCTGCAGCAGACACCACAGCCACCTTACTTGAAGGCAGAGCTGCCCTACTTGGTATTTTAAAGAAACCTATAATCTATTCTCCCTGGTTTTTAAGGATCCTCGGTGCATTTTCTAACATGGCAGCTATTTCCATTATATTTCATTCTTGATTCATCATTTTTAAATGCACCTTGTGGGTTTAAGGGCCGATAAGAAAGAAATAGGGCTGGGGGTGGTGAGAAGGCCTGCTCCGGATGAGAGGCACCGCGGTAAATCTTTGAAGTAAAATTATCTTTGTGAACTAAATGGTACCTCACTTTTATTCAAGTGAAAAACTGGGCAATTGACTGTGATTGAAAATGATCACTTTTCTATACTTCAAACGCACTGAAACAGGGTTTTTTTGCAATAACCTAGGGAACGTATGCAAATTGAAACTATATTGTTTAGTCTAAAGAAGTGAAGACTGACTGAATAATTGATCTACAAGTATGTAAAGTGTTATGTTGTGGTTGTACACCATTATTGACTGTTAAATAGTTCACAAAATTAAAATGGACTTAAGGTCTGCAGGAAATAGAGGTTAGATAAGAGAAGATAACAGAAGAGCAAAAATCTTTTTTTTTTCTTTTGAGGAAGATTAGCCCTGAGCTGACTATTCAACGGCCAATCCTCCTCTTTTTGAGCTAACATCCATGCCCATCTTCCTCTACTTTATATGTGGGGCGCCTACCACAGCATGGCTTTTGCCACATGGTGCCATGTCTGCACCCAGGATCTGAACCAGCAAACCCCAGGCCACTGAGAATCGGAACATGTGAACTTAACTGCTGAGCCACCGAGCCAGCCCCAAAAATCTTAAAAATCCCTAATCACTAGTGGATTTTCAAAGATTTTTTGGAGGTAGGGAGAAGATATTAGGGAAAAAAAAATAGATTGGAAACTCCCTTGTGGCTGTTTGGTAATACTCGAGGGTCTGGCCTACAGTGCAGAGGTTCTGAGAGGCTGGTCTTGGGAAGCTTTTGTTATTTGCCTCTTTTGAGATGCCGCACTGCTCTGTCCCTGGCTACGGAGGCTCACATGGCTTCTTGATCTGCTCGGAAGGCCTCATGTCTAATTTCCCAGGCTGCACCCTGCAGGAACCAGTGGAAATTAATCCGTGATGGATTGTTCTACCCACATATCACCTTTCCTAGAGAAGATGATGCTGGCCGGGGCGTTGAGGTATTGAGAACATACACTTTTCTTCAGAGAACCCGACTCCTTCCCTGTAAAGGGGGAAATCACAACAGAGTGTGCCCTGCAGCCTGATGGCAGCTGTGTGAGAGGGGAGAAAAGCAGGACAGCTGTGGGGGGCAGGGTGAAGAGTTACACTCTTCCTCCACATGCTTCATTGAGAGGATTTCAGAGTGGGGTTCTTGGGGTGCTCAGACTTGACATGGGGCAACTGTCTGTGATACATCTCGGAAGGTTCTAGAAGTGCCCACCGAGATCGTACACGCAGGGACAACCTCGCTGGCTCTGCTTGCGGCAAGAAGGCTAATGGAAACACTCCCTGCCGCCAACACCAACCGCTACCTCTTGAAATGGACTGCCCTCTCTACTCCCAAACCCCTTGTGGCCCCTGTCTCTGCTAAGCTAGACCCAGGCAAGAGACAGGCCCGGAGCGGTGCTGTGAGGTGGTGCTCCATAGCGAGGTGCCTATGAAACTCCGTGTGGTCCTGATGACCTAGTTCATGCCCTCGATATGCCTGAAAAAGTCACAGGAGCTTTCTGAAGAGCCAAATCACCTGGCCTTTATTTTTGTACCTCTGTCTAAGCTGTTCCTAACTCTGACTGCCGACGGGAATCACTTAGGGAGCTTTTAAATAATACCTGTGCTTACTCCCCACCCCGACCAATTAAACCAGAGTCTCCAGGGAGGAAGCTGGCAATGGTGCTTTTTAAAAAGCTCCCCAGTTGATTTTAATGTGCGTCCTGGGCTGGGAACCACTGGATCAATGGCCACAACTCTGCGAGAAGGGATGTGCCAATGTTTGGGCAAATTTTCATAAGAGTAAGGAGCCCTACTCTGTGCAGGTTCTGTGCCTGGGTCATCCATGCATGAAGCACAGGCACCTTGACACCTTAATGAGGGATTCAGACAGGTAAAGCATCATTTCCAGCCCAGCTGGTCGCGCTATGGGGCATGTGCAGGGAGCAAAGCGCAGGGACTGCTTTCTGGGAGAGCTGTGAAAAGTTGCCTGCCAAGGTCAAAGCCTGAGTGGTTTGTGTCATGAGTGGGACTTTGGCGGAGAGAGATGGGGAGACAGGCCATTTCAGCAGGAATGACAGTGTGCTGGCGTGGAGCAGCACAATTTGTCAGGGGACTGGAATGTCAGCTCCAGGAGAGCAGGGGCTTTGGGTCGTCTCTGTTCTTTCTTGAGAGCGTAGACCTGAGCTGCACACCATCAGGTGCAGAACACATATTAGTGGAATGAATGAATGAATGAATGAACACACGAGCATTGCCTTCTCAAGGGAGTGGAGGATGCCATGGAGACCAGCAAGAGCCCCGTCCTGGATGGAATTCTGTGCCATGTTAGTTAGACTTTACCCATGAGCTAGTCATTCTCAACTTGTTCAAGAATGAAGACCCATATTTAACGAGAAAAAGAATTCTCTCAGACCTTTGCACAGTAGCAGCAGTGCTGCTGGTACCATTGATTGAGAAAAGGCATATAGACTAAGAAATTACTACAAATCCCATGCTTTTTTATATGAATTTTCATTTTCATCACCACAGCACACACAAATAATATATTTCTCCACAACACTGAGATT